CCCCCCCCCCCCCTTTGGGGGGCCTATTTATAGTTTTTTGAGAGTGTCATGTCCAGTAATAAAGATGAAGATCAGAGTTAAATTGAGAGGGGTTTGAATGGACGACCATTGTTGAATCCCTTGTTCGTGGACCGTTTACTGGGCATTTGAATGTCTTAACGATCTCATAATTTTGCGATCTTAGGCTCGTTGGATTCTTCTCGTCGAGTCGATCGATTTGATTAGAAGCATGTCACGTTTGGAAACTGTTTTTAATTCAAATTATGGATTTAACCTTCCAAATGCGCTTTGGGTCTTTGATTTGGACTCATTTTGGTTCGGATTGAGTCGAATTTGGTGTCGTTAGGTTTGTATTTTTGCGACGTTCAGTTCGATTATAAGTTTGCTGAAATCGAAGTTCAGATGATTTTGATTTAATTTTTAAAGTTTCCAACGTGATTTTCCCTCGTTATTCGTGCTCGATCAACATAGTTTTTTTATGATATATCAGTTGCCCCTCTATTTTTGAACGTCGAAACTTCAAAAGTCCCAAAATACTGTTTACAACTTTTGGAAATTTTTTTCTGTGACTTGAAAATCCAGATAATCCGATGTTAGGTGTAAAGGCCCCAATTGGTTTTTAAAGTACAAAAATGGAGTCCGGAACGTTGAAAAACAATTCCAATGACAACAAAAATGTTAGATTTGAATTGTCTGGGTCGAAAATCGGACCCGAACATAAGTTGGCGGCCGAACCGGCCAACTTGTGTATTTGGAATCTTTTCAATGAGACGGTTAATTTGGCTATAAGTTTGTTGAAATCAAAGTTTAATTGAACCTAAATTAATTCTTTAAAAAAAAAAAATATAGCTATGCATTTTGATTCATATTTGATTAAGTAAAATTTCAATGATATATCAAATATCAATTTTAGTGTAATATTTTGTAATGACTTGGTATATATTTTGTGCTGATCACATTTTCTATGTCCACTCATAATAATTCCACATATATTGCAGTGGGCATTATCAGACTTTTACGTCAAACCAA